TTTTTTTTTTTTTTTTTTTTTTTTTTTTTTTTTTTTTTTTTTGGTACACGGTAGGTAATTGCAGACTAATGCATCCATACGTATTGGTCTGACGATGCAATGCAATGGTTCGCAAGTGACAATTAGACAAGTAAAGCACTGAAACGGACGTGAGTCATTTGTGGTTGACACAGTTACGCTTTCATTTTTATTTTTGCATTTTTTTTTCTTTTTCAAAAAAATTAATGAATGAAAGCTTGTGCTTATTTTTTTCCTTTTTCTTCGTTTTGGAAAAATCAAAAGTCCACTGCTTTTTTTAAACAACACACATTCACATTAATATCGAGTTAGTAGAATAATATCAGTTTAAACGCAAAAAAAAAAAAAGAAAAGAAAGACTAAAAAAAAACTCACTCTTTATTCACCAAAAAATTTTTATTATGAACTTTACACTGGCAATATAAAAACTTTGAGAATTAAAAAAATATCTGCTTCGAAAACAAAATGATCGTTTTGTTTAAAAATACGCATGCAGGTATACTCACACAAACCTAAATTGCTTATAATTTTGTACGCTAACGAAAAATAATTTTCTAAAAATATATTTAAGAGGAGGCACCAAAATTTCTTCTACACATTATACAACAGCACCATTATCCGCAAAAATTTTTACGCAGAGCGCGGTGCCAGCATTACAAACATTATTAAACAATTGTGTTCTTAATTAACCGAAGTAACCGGTTAAGTGGCCGGTTTTCATCTCCGCCAATCTGAAAATGCATAAAGTACATATGGTCTTAAGAAATTTAAGATTCTGAATTGATTTCACTTCGTCCCACCGTCCGTCCATCTGTTACATACAGTTGAAAGTCGAGCAGCTTAGCACAGACAAATAAATGGACATGATTTCAAATGCGTCCACATTACGCAAAATATGTCACTTAATACTCATAACATATATTGTGGCCTGCAACTTGATGGAAATCCTTAAAACTAAAACAAATCACACAAATGTCTGGAAGTTAAAGTCTCTAAGAGTTATAGACTTAGTCGAGTTCAAAGTTGGCCATTGGCTAATTAACCTGCGCCCTTCAAAATAAGAAATTGTTTTTAGTTACCACCAAAGAATGGATTAGATTTACTCTTGCAACTGTAGCATCGGGGAATATAAGAGAGAACCGTTAAAGCAAGTAAAACAAAACAAAATTATAAGCTTACTTACCTCCAGAATTGAAATGAAAAGTTGAAAAGTGTGATCACAGGTATTATTTTGAAAATCATTAGCATTAAGGCTTTGAAAAGTTGGCTCCTAAACAAGTCTCAACTCAGGCTCATTGGAGCGTATCAAAGACAAGCTCGCAATCAAATATGATATTTCATTTGGCCAGCTTCGCACACCTACTCGCTCTTTATATAAAGACTATCCATCTTTCTGCTGAACCTCGATATGACTTTTTCGAAAGTTTCTTCGAAAATTGACTTGATTTGTTAAGTGTTAACAGCGCTTAGGAGTCGATAAATCATTTAACAGCGATGACATTCCATTTAACAAATGTTCACTTATCTACTCGTCGAGCTATAAAAGTCTTTCAGAAACGGTTGCCCTGTATTCTTATGCGGCACCTTAATACTACTCTTGTTTCCTATGGCGTTGCGTTGTACCCTTTATGAACTTATAAATAAGTTTTGTAACTGATTTGTTCGAAACCTGTCCCAAAATTGACTGCAATAGAAGTGCTTTTGCTGATACTTGATCCCTTTCTCCTCAGATTTACGAGACGACATAATTACTGCTTTGGCATAAAAATTAATCTTATTGGCTTAAAGGTATCTTAAAGATATAGAATATCTTTTGCGCTTTAATTCACTCTATATATAAATATATCAAAATCATCACTCAATCACACGTACTAGGTTAATAAGACATGTATACGATGACTGCGTTAGTAGAGTTAAATTTACCATTCACCGGTCCGGGAGCGAAATCGCTTCAAATTTCTTAATAGATTTGCCATTCATTGCTGCGAGAAGATCGAAGAGCATATACGTTTTTATTCACGACCAAATAATAAAATAATGCATTTTTATGCCGCCTACAAGAAGCGCGCAAAGATGGAATCTAAGGAATCTAAGACATTCTGAAAACCTATTTTTATCAAAAAATATGCACTGAATTTAATCAGTAAAAGAATACCATATCAATTTTCTCTCTAATTCGGATCTGTAATATATAATAGCTTTTGTACAATAAAAAATGTTACGTAACATAGCTGTAGAAGAGAGAGAAGTCTCTCGCTTGCTGCCAATATTAAAAAATAAAGACAGGCTTACTGTTCGTTGATGTGTGAGAGCTTGCGAAACGGTTTCTATGATGAAGAGAAATTAAAAGCTAGACTAAGGTCAAAAGCTAATTTAATCAAGGATATGAAAAATGCTCCTTCTTCATCATAGCGGCGCAGGATACTACGCGCAACGGCAGTGTACGAGATTTCGTCGTCTGCCTCTTTCACTTTTTTAGTTTGTCCTCACATTAAAGTATATCTAAGGACGGAATTTGATGAAGAGATTCATTCACATTTCAGATAAAGAAAAACAGCATTTAAGATAAAGAAAATATGATGAAATTTCACTGACTTTATTGAGAATTATATAAAAAATTTCAAAATATCACTAAAAATATAATACATAATACAATAAACTATTTTATTAGAAATAGTTGTACAGGTTAAAATTTTATTTCAATTCGGGGCAAGGTGTCCTTGGAAATAATGGGCGGGCTTCCCACTTGCGGAGCGCGACAGAAATGAAACGGAAACGAGCTATTTTCAAAAAGAATATAGACAGACGATAAAAGGCGAGTCACTTGTAATAATGTATGCAGGAAGATCGCAAATGATGTCGCCCATCCATGGCATATAGCAAAGTCAGTATTTAGGGCTCGTATATTAGTGCTTTCGGTTTAGTGGAAGTGGAAGGCAAATGTGCAGTATGGGGTGCTCCAATCTTGGCAGACCACTTATTCCACTCTATGCTATCAACAACTAACATGATTGAAGCGCGCACTTAAACTTAAACTCTCAAAATTGATCAATAGAAAAGGATCCGTCTTCCATCATGATAATGCCGATTCGGATGCTTCTTCGATTACCCGATAAAAACTGACAGAGTTTGCGACACCATTAATAATGTAAAGTTGACTTCAAAAGGGATGGGCGAAAATAGTTTGGCTCAACTTGTTGCTGAGACATTCCGGAACTTCTACAGTGATGACGCAATAATTTTACCGATAAAATAGCAAAAATTTATCGATCAAAATAACGCAAACAAACTTTGCTTTAATAAAGTTTATTTGAGTTTGGAAAAAAATGCCATGATATTTTTCCTTACCGGCAACAGTTTCCTATACTACGTTCTGAAGCGTATACACGCTCCCCACTACATCGCGTTGTAGTTGTAAAACTGCAAATATTTCGCGTGATCATAATCCAATAAACATTTGCATTTCAGCGAGTACACTATAGAGTGCACCCAACACTTCTTACAAATCGCTATTCAATCTTCGACTTGACCCACTTAGTGATTATTCGGTATTCTGTGCAAATGCATTTGTTTTAATTTTATGTGTTCGTCTTACATGACGTTACATGTACATTGTTAATTATATGACTAGTAAGAGCATTACAGTCGCAGCAAGGCCGACCATTAGATACCCTGTAGCACTTTGCCTCGCTTTAGTAATAATACAAATTTTACAAATTATTTTCGTTCAAAGGCATACTTTTCATGAAAGCTCGCTTATTAGAGCATGGCCAGAGCATCACATGGCGTGGTCCAAATTTAGCACACTTCCCAAAATTTTATTATTTTTCAGTTCCCGTGACAAAAAGCTTGAAATTAGACTTTCCCTTCATATAATGGCTTTCGTGGTAATTCTCGTGTATACTAGTGTCTAAAAAATAATCCTATGTGGTCCAAATTCCCTACCGTTAACTTTTTTCGTAAATATCTACTAAGGACCAATTTTTATCATAAAATATTAAAAATTAAATCTTTTTCTGAAGAACTTATTATTCATGAGAAATCCTATATAGGACCCAAAGCCTATTTGGTTCAATTTTGGTCCACTCAATTTTAATGTGCTATCAATAATAAATTTTCATTGTAAAACTGTTAATATTTTTAGGCCTTTTCGCATGTAAAGATTCACGCTGGTATCTAAGAAATGTTCCTACGTGGTCGAAATTCGGTTAGACTGATTTCTTTGTCATTTTACTATTATGAATCAATTTTCGTTGTAGTATGGAAAAGTATGGAAAATTAGACTTTTTTACGGTATAAAGGTTCAGTTTTCGGAGGAACTGTTATATGGAAGGGGGTTCAAAAAGTTGCCCCAGCCGAACTAAATGTTTGAATACCAATTTATAATATCGAAATAGCATTACTCAGCGGGTTTTGTTGAAACATTTTGAAAATTGAATTTTTTTTTTCATATCACGGCTTTTCAAAATAAAGCTTTATATGGAGAGTGAAAAAGAGAACCAATTCAAACCATTTCCAATAGCGTTCGTCCTACACCGAATTTCATTAAAATATTTCAAAAATTGTGACCTGTAAAACATAAAAATACATCGCTAGACATCAGACGGACAGACAAGTTTGGATTCATTCAGAAAGTGATTCTCAATCGATCGGTATAATAAAAGATAGGCCTGCCCTAAGTCAGTACATCCTGTATAACAAATGGTATAGGGTATAAGAAAGCATTCGATTCGATTGCGTAAACAATAATTTAATTATTATTAATGTCTATTTTAAATTATGCTTAGTTCGAACATTTATATTTTTCACTTGCGCATAGTAAATGCACATAAGACTGCATAAGAGGAGCAACGAAATCGAAATAAATAATGATTTTTTAATAGAGAATGATCGTTACAAGGGCAAGCGTTTTGTCTTTTCTTTAGATAAAGATGACTGTTGCAACTGTATGTTGCTGTCAGGCACATTAACGCCAGGCAAGGTAAAGCAAGTTTTATATCACTCTTTCATATTAGAGCATGAAAAGGCAACTGTTTGTCTTTCAGTTGAACATAAATTTCTAGATCTTGTGTTCTATTTTATACTGCTTGTCGGCCTTCGCACCTCATATCGTACTACAGACAGCCTAGCACTACTTATTTTTGGCAATAATTAAAGCATTTCTTTCAGTTAAGTTGAAAGAATTCTTTACCCACGAAGACACGTTAATC